CTAATGTTGCCCCTAGCTGGATTGTCTACAGGAGTAGCCTATATTCTTTTCTAATGTAGGCCTATACTAGATGGATTATGTCTGTTTTTTCCCAGTCGCCAAAATACTACTTAAATGCCCAATTAGCCAATAAACAGGTAGAAAGCTATTGCTCATGGTTAAGGCTAGTTTGGCTATTGATAATGTACGCGTTGAAACAATAGCTTAAATAAGGCTCAAAGGTTTTTGTTGTGAATCGAACAACCGTCTGTTTATGAAACAAGTTATTTTTCAAATTTCTCCTTTTTGTTCACAATCAACCATTAAATATGTGAAAGTTCCTCCTTAACAACTTTGTCTACTACAAAGAGCTGATGGAAAACGGCATGTGAACTCCTTTTGGGTGCAGCTGCAACATCAAATAGAAGCCAAGCATTAAATTACTATTAATGTAATCTGCTGGAACAACTGTCTCCAATCTGAAATTCCTCTAAACTCTAATTCTCTTACATCTGTGACACAGATGGCGTTAAGATTTAAATATATTTAGTTTACCAACAAAACAAAGAGGGCTGTGTTTGATGCATGTATCGGTGCAGTGTTCGATTGATTTCCAGCAGACGTTTCTCCGGCATCCTTCTGTCCTTGTTGGCTCTCACAGCAGGTGTGACAATGTCTGACAAGTGTTAGAAAAAAAGGGCAACAGATAAAATGTCACAACCAAATGGATAACTGGTGCTATCGCTTGCTATTAGGGTATTACAGATATTATTGGTTAAGACTATCTCAATAAAACCCTTCAGTTGACAGAACCAAATGTCATTCTCATCATGCTGTTTGGGCTGCATGTCTGTGATTATAATGTATTTGTGAAGAGGGCTATTTATTGGACAAAGTATTCACGAAACGTCACAAATGCCCCGCGCCTCCCTCGCTCAGTGTGTGGGTGGAAAAGCTACAAAGTTTCCTAGGACCTCCAAATGGATGTTTGGCTGTACCACAGAGGACACGCAGAACACAAGCTAAGTGCTTTAGCAGCGGGTGATGCTAACGCAGTAGGACAGGCTCAGTGAGGCGTGAAGCAGAAGAGTGCTGTGCGAGGTGACTTATGGGACAATGGGGCCGCTTTTCGCAAATAAAACATGAGGTCTTATCCAGAGCCTCTGAGCGCTACAGTTGCGGTTTCTGTCAGGTGTTTGCCGGAGGAAAGAGAGGGGGGAAATCTGATTTAATGCTTCTGAACTGTTTGGATTATCTATACAAAGAAGGCTAATTCAGTGAAACATATCGTTTTTTTGGTAATGCTCAATCCTATTAACTCCTTAACATCCGGTTTTATTTTTCTCTTAAGTAGCTTTAATGCTGTTAAAATCTTATTTTCTCTTAAGTAGCTTTAATGCTGTTAAAATCTTATTATATTATGCTTAAGCTTCTGATTGAAGCTAAAAACCTTTTTTCAAGGTCAAGACCAGAGCCACTTTCTAGCAGGTGAAGGATTAAAAAGAACAAATCAATGGATTGGACATTGCTTTTGCACAGTAATATGTATTATTCTCAAAATGTAAATGCAAAACAACATAAGCAGATTTGTAGTTAGGAAAGCTTAAAACAAAAACAAAGTTAATTTAAAACATTTCCTCTGATCTTTGGCTTCTACTATATATTTTTTTAAACACTAGAAAGTTTCACTTCATCCTGCCTCTAAACAATTTAAAATCAAGCAATCTCAGAAGGGAAAATCATTATTTGCCCATGGAACGATTCAACCTTTGAAATGGTGTCACAAGGGACATTTTGTTTGCGTTAAGGGGTCGCAATCCAAAGATGCTGGGAGCCACTGACAAAGACTGTATGTTATCTGATTTGGTTTAAAAAGTGCCTACAAAAGAAAAGACATCTTCCTGGAATGACAATGTTCAGTCCTACCAACATCTTCAGTATTTTCATACTGGCAACGTAACCTTTTGAGACGTTGGACTAGTTGTGATGTAAAAGCAGAAGTATGTTTCTTCAATTAATAAGAAGCAGCAGCCATTTGAATCATATAAGTCCAGTGAGGTTCTGAAGAAATCCATTCAGTTTAAAAAGTGAACATCTCTTGATAATTTCAACTATACAAGTCTCAGCATTCAATTATGTAAAGGCTCTATGCCAACACTTAGAAGGAATAGGTCTGTGAATTTAGCTCCAAACTACGTCAAGCATTCCTTTAAATCCAACCGAAGAGACGTATGAATAAGATATTGTGTGCGCACTACATCTTCACAAAGCTATCTTTGGCTGTGAGGTGGCAGTGACATCTTTGGGCTTAAAAGGCTCAGAGCAACATTGACTTATGTTTTGCTTTTTAACCCTTTGTGTGGTCAAAGTTTTCCAACCACAGCATCTGAATTAAAGATTTATGGGAAAAAGTAAAGAAAGAGGAAGGGAGAGTAAACACAAAGCACAACCTAGACATCAAAAACACTTTTTCTAAGGCTGCCAAGGATGGAAAAAGTGCTTTAAATTATAAATGTATTGATTTTATAAATAATAATTGCCATGTTTATTAAATGCTTGAAAGAAAATCTACAATCTGCTTTACATTCAATTAAAAAACAATAAGCACATGGTTAATATAATAGTATGAACAATTCAACAAGGATAAGCAAACAGCACTGAAATAATGAAATAGTGACTTTAAAAAAACTCTGCAGGTCATTGCACAACTGGGGCCTTAGTTGGAACATAAGAGAAATCATTTTTCAAAATATAAATGTTACTTTCTAACATTCATATTTTGTCTTGGCATAAATAATCTGCTGATAAGTCTTTTCTTAGGATCTCATGATATAAAAAAACATGTAGCAATCAGCCCGGACAATCTGTGTCTTCTTTAAGTGAATGTAAGGCAAGTGAATGCATTTTACTGTAATAAGACCTGAATCGTGAGCCTCCTATGCATTAAAACCTCAGAGTACAGACTGTCACTGTACAGACTAGTGATGAATACATTAATGAACACTCAGCAGTACAGTCAATATTTCATAGGCAGCAAGTGTTGCTACAATGACAAACAGAGCGTAATGTTGTTCCATAGAACAAATTCTCTAAGTCAAGTGTACTGCAGCTGCTGACTGAAGCAGAAGCCAGATCTCTACAGACCTTTGTTCTGGATTACGAGATGTCGATCTGTATCTTACTTTTAATTTGATATTGTACCCTAAGGAGAAATGTGTCTTGCAGTCAGGTGAAATACATAACACACAAATACTTTCACATAAAACATAACAAAATACCAGAATCATACAAGAAAAATATTCACATAAAACAATGTTAATGATGACATGAAGCCTGGAGTGCATCCAGTCAACGGTTAAAACAACATCATCATCGTCACGGTCACACCCACATACCGGCCCTTACAGAGGCCCATTATTTTACGTTGGGATGCAACTAATATTGATAAACATGCTGATTATTTCTCAAATTAATGAACTCACTAATCTATGAAATCGTTTGTAAAAATGTGCTTTTTTGTCTGGAAAGATATTACTTTTTTAAAAGAAACAGAGAAGCAGTAAATATATTATTTTTAGAAGCCAGTAGATATTTGGCTTTTTAGTTATGTATTTAGCTTTTAAAAGAAATACTTAAATTATCAAATGAACAAGTAAGATTAATTCCCTGTAGTTAATGGATTAATTCAATTTGTTTTAGATCAACTGTTTATACACCAATGCTTTGTCATAATGTACATCTTATGCTGGTTCATTGAAATACTATGACAGAGCTTAACACTGTTTATTGTCTTCTATGTCCGCATAGCCTTTTTCTTTACATCTGTTTGTATCTCCTCTCATGAAGTGATGAAATATCTATAGACAGCACATTCACCACCTGAAACACACTGGAAACACAGCACGGTTCCCCTATTTTTAGATCACACCACTGAAGAAATACAGTGAGAAAACGTCGGCCCACAGGGCCCCCCCTCCTCGCCCTGCAGGTCTGATTGTGTTTCTATACAAAGTCAGGAAACTCTGTGGCCTCTGTAGCTGTTTTGTTGTGAGGAAACGCAATGCATGCTGGGCTCACGTCCAGGGCCGAGCCTCAATACACAACACGGACTCTTGTCCACCCACGCCACTCTTATCAGCCACATCATTAAAACACAAAGGCATGATTTATTATTATCATTGTTATCATTATTATTTAATTTAGGATGTTGCACTAATAAAGAGGTAATATGTAAACAAGGCTCATCAGTGTATGTATTAATTGCCAAAAAAAACATCAAAACACAGTGTGTGTTTGTAATTAAATATTTTCTTCAGCATAAAAAAGGGTTAAATGACAGAAGACTCTCCTAAGATAGCTGTTTTACATTATAAAGCAAAAAACGAAATGTAAATAAAAAATGTTTTATCTCTGATATACTGGAACAGTGCAGTACTAGTATAATGATGTTAGACATAACTACACAACAACAATCAATCATAATCCTATAAATGCATCTGTTTATTTATGAAGGCCAAAGGCCTTTAACCTGTAGTGAAATGTGTCACATAAAAAATAGATTTGAGTTGACTTAAAATACCCTTAAAATAGCCCTTACATTTGTGTTAATTAAGTGGGTTTTACCACAGATGTAAACAATAAAATACATTGAAATAAATTAAAGTTTGTGTCAGTGTGGTGCCATACTGTCACAGAAACAGTAGAAGATCCAGTAATATGAAACATTGTTTCTATATATTTAATTCTGGGGTAGACACCTTTTATCAGTTTTTATTTTTTATTTGTTGGGGGGTGTTAAGTAAGTTGAAGGCAACAGATTCAAACAGAAAATTAAAAAAATCAAACAATTAATAATAATGATAATATTGTATTTCTTTAGGGCAATTTAAATATGTGTGATAAACTATCATTGGCTGCCCGGGTCCCATAGTAACGGTGATGCGGCGCGGAGGGGCCGGGTCTCCTGCAGCAGCTGAGGCGGATCTGCAGCCTGATTACGGCTCACAGCAGACTCCAACATAATTGATGACCTAATTGAAAAGCAGGAGGAGGAGGTGGATGATAGAGAGAGAGAGAGAGACGCGCTCCAATGAGAAAAGTTTAGCCTACTTGTTCTTCCTCCGCACACTGTTGAGGGCATTGATGTGACCGCATAGGCTTTCTGTTTTTTACGCGCACTTCTTTCCCACTATCTTTCACCCTCACACACGGAGCACAAAACCACCTTCTCACCTTTAGTTTAGCGCGTGTCTGTATTTCTTTTCTTTCCTTTTCCAACCTTTTATGAATGATTCTCTCTCGCAATACTTCTAAGATATCCTCGGATACTTCTCCGTCCTCGTCTGCACGACTTCACCTCGGCACATCTTCTCTCCCTAAGTTCAAAAGCCACCAGGACTTTCACTGCAGCTTCAGCCGCACTTGGGGGAAATATCACTCGACGAGGAAAGACTTGATACTGAGTGCAGCAGCAGTTGAAGCCTCCGCCGACATGAGTATCAAGGCTGACGCAGAGCCCAACAACAATGTTTCCATCGAAGAGGAGGTGAGTTTACACAAAGTTTAATATCTCCGCAGCTCCGGACTTTGACCCTTTAAGCCACAGCTGTAACTTTTCTTGGTTGTGTGTTGGCTGAAATTACTTGACTTTATCTTGGCTTTTCGCTCTTCTGTGTCATTTTGGAAGGAAGTAAGGCAGGCGCGATTTAAAGGGGCGAAACCACTTCCAGTGGAAGTTACCGCATTGTTTAATAATAGGCCTATCTGTTTATAAATAATACACACGTTATTTCAACTTGCCAATTCCTGTAACTTTTTGTGACGCATCTTCTTTTTTTCCTTATTTATCTCACCAGGTGCGTAATGATTCGCCTACAGCAAATAACTAAAATGAATCAATTGGGCTCTTAACACTGTATTTGTTTTCCTTTCTTGTAATGTTTTATTCAATACCCAATTTCACTTAAAAGTGTTTCTTTGTGTCAAAAAAGGTAGAGGATTTATGTTGCCTTAAAACGTGGGTTAATATTAAGGCCTATATTGTATTTTTAAAACCACGCTTTAAATGGTTGACATCAGTCCGTCTGCATTTAAAAAAACATATATCTATGGACTCTCCTAATTTCCCAATGATGGCACTCTTTTTCTTTACTTTTCATGAGCATCAGGTTTTTTTAAGGGACATTTTTGTTTGCAAATAGAAGATGGTCACACCAATGCTGCAGGTTTCAATATATTTGAGAAGAGGTCATCATGAAACTGTAACCTTAAATAAATGTCACAACTGTTACATTACATCTTTTTGGTAGGTCTAAATTAATACAAATGCCCTTTATTTTAATCTGAATAATAATAGTTGAGATTGATCTAATTAATTGAACTAAAATATGTTTTGTTTAACCGCTGCCACTCGAAGTCTGTGTGGCCATCTATATTTCCTCTTTAATGACTCCTTATGGAGACACACTGAGGGGAGTGGAGGGCCTTTTGTTGGTCCTCCTTTGTTCCCATTATCTTCCAACAAAGCCACATGTGGCCTCTTGACTGTTATTAGCCTAATGTCCTTTTGTATTTTGTCTCCTTGTAATTAAGAGCAAAGATTAAACAAACATGCCAGAAATGTATTTGGGACCCTAAAATGTTTGTTTAGAGATGTGGTAAATCAAGATAAAGAATATTGTCAGTCATCAATAGTCGCCCTTTTTTATTCCTAAATAAACCCCCTTGTAACTGATGCATTTCAGATGTTGTGAACAATACAGTATGTTTCAGGTTCATACACTCAGTCAATGAGAAGCTGATAGATGAATTAAAACATCTCCATTGAGTTTGTGTCCTGCTGAGCCGGCCTTCAGTCGCTGTGTGTGCTGAGCTGTAGAGGACTGAGAATTGCTGCTGTGCGGCACCTGAAAAATGCCAGAGGGCGGGGGCCGCAGGTCAGAGGAAGGAAATGGTGTCACGCTGTGCACTGTTGTCCAGTGCTGTTCGTCTGGCAGCCCCATTGTAGTGAGGGCCTCCCCACCGGCTGGGAACTAATGGGCCCCGCACTACACAGTTTATTTCCCCAGCCACTCCGCACTGTACACTACATCAGTTCTCAATGTCTGTTCAGTGCCATTCCAGGGTTTCCTATCAGGATGAAGACCCTCTTAGGTTTATCCTTTTAGCTCGTAACATGCTTGAGGATCACAAGTTGGCTTTAAAGACAATTGATAAGATCTGAGACATACTTAAAATCCTCTTAAAGGAGTGGTTCCCAATCTGAGGGTCAGAATCCAGCCAAGGGGTCACTTGATAAATCTAAGGGTCGAGAGATGGTTAAAAGAATAGTAAAAGGACAGGCTATGGAGCTGCTCGTCGTACATCTTGGAGGGAATTTTCCATCTTTTGTGAGGCTCAAACTTAAAGCATATCTATGATTGAGATTCTCGGCTGGGATTGCCTCCACACCGCTCTCAGCTTGAAGAAGGCTGAACTGGTGGCTAGCAGCTAACAGCACACACAAAGTCTCTGACAAGGCTAACGGTGTCGACCTGGGAGGGAACAGGAGGCCGTTCAGTTTATGCCACAACTCCGCTTGTTTTATGTGCAGTGAAGAGCCGCGGCCATTGGCTAGACAGTTGGGCACACAAGGTGACATGCACATCATGCAAGCATAGTTGGCCAGGCTAAGCAGGAAGTCTTAGTGGGAGTATAGAGCAAGGCAAATGTGTACAGGATTACAAAACATTAAAGAAATGTTGCATTGTTTTACTTTTCTTTTTTCATGTTCAGGCATTTAAAACGGTTTTATACTCAAACTGGTGTTGCAAAGCAAAATAAACCCATTGTTCTAAAAAAATATATACATAAATAACTAATTCAGGCCTTATGTATCCCAAATGTATACAAAATAAAATATGCAGCCAACAAAAGTATAAGTCTAAGTAGGTTCTTGTTTTGAATGCAGTTACTTTCTAAAAAGTCAGTCTTAAAACTTGTTTGGTTTATCCTTTTCCCAGAAATCATGCCATTAACATAGGCTGCAAATTCATTTCCATTAACACATATCCATCCATAAGTGTTGGTTATTAATGGAGCTTTTTAATATATAAATTGCAGCTCACAGTTTAAAGTCCAACATGCTGGTCTTTAGAGAATAAAGACACCATTAAAAGATACACAGAATATTAAGATGTTTTGCTTCCAGCTGACAAAAGTACATTTTGCTTTTCTTTTTGCAGGTGCGAACACTGTTTGTCAGTGGCCTTCCAGTGGACATTAAACCACGGGAGCTTTACCTTCTCTTCAGACCCTTTAAGGTAAGTAACAACATGAGTTTTTTTCTGGGTGTTATACAGGTTGTTTAAGGGACATCTCAAGTACCTTACCCTTACAAGTAAAGCAAGGCTGATGTTTTTGAAGGGCTGGAGAAGATTTAGGAACGTTTTTTTTAAAAGGATTATCTGCACACAGAGAAGGAAGAGTTTAAACATTTGTTATTATTGAGGAGGCAACTGTTTTCCGTTGTGCAGGATATTCTTTTAAGACCACTTTTAATGATGCAGTTACATTACTGCCTGTTGCGCACACTGTAAAAAGTTAATCAGAGCTCCTTTTGAAATCAAACAAACCCCTCTGTTTATGGACGTCCAGATATTTGCATATATGGAAATGAGGCCACATCATTGTTTGTCCATTGCTCTGTTTTTGACTGGACTCCAGTTCCATAAACTGCCCTCCCACCCGTGTCCTAACTAACCAAATTGGAAGTGGTATCCCTCGCACATGGATGATCTTGTGGAATGTGTAAATGAGTAGCCCTTGCGATTGGCCAACAAACCCTCTCCGTGACCCAGCATGCCCACCGTGTAGGGAAACTTTATTTATTTCCTCACATAACATTCAGACATTGTGAAACCACTGAAATGTTTTGTTTACACAAGTTGTTGTAACGCTCATGTACTTTGTGTCCTTTGCGTCTGTAGATGGCTAACATTGTGTGCAAATAGGGATACAGATTATACAAATTAAAACACTTTAGTTTATTTTAGAGAGAAACCTTTCAATATTGCTTGTATTCTACCTCTTGTTTGTCTGGTTAACTGAAGCTAAATCTGGTTTGGATTGTTTCTAAAGATTTATGACAGCCAGTGAAAGTTGTTTATTTTCCATGGCTGTAAATCAGGATCAGGAGAGATCCCATTTATCAATACTCTGCTTACGCAACATTCCCCTTCATTTCTCAGGAATTTGTTCCTGTTTTGATCAACACTTGTGCTGTTTTTAACCTTGTTTAAAACCAGTGGATTTCTTTTACAAGTCATGTCTAATCTATGGCTAAACTCCTTCATAATAGAGAATCTCCCATTTAAAAAAGAAAAACAAATGTTCTTCATTTCTTTTTCAGTTTTCAGGATATTAAAATGGTATTTGCAGTAAAATTAGTTTTGTATGGAATGTACATGATTTGATCACATCAAATGTAAGTACAACACTATCACAAAAGGACCCGTGATGGCCTTCTGTTGAGCTCAAACTGACGGTGAACACAAGCAGGTTCCTCTTGATGTAGCGAGAAGTGTTCATGCCTGACTTCCTGCATGTGACTCCAGGGTGGATAATTGGCTATCTTTCTTCCCTGCAGGGTTATGAAGGGTCACTGATTAAGTTAACATCAAAACAGGTGAGAGGCCTTCATCAGTAGAAGGAATTGCTTTAATGCTGTACTAAAATACTACACAAATGTCCAGTCATGCTCTTTAACTTTAACATTACCTCAGGACTGTTTAGCTGATTTGTTTGATGCATGATTTATTTTCTATTATTAATATCTAATGTGACATTTGAAAAATGCAGGTTCTTGCATGTTAAGGTGCTCTTCTAATGATGTCAGCTCTCAGTGTGTTTCTTCCCTTTTTGCCTTCCAGCCTGTCGGGTTTGTTACCTTTGACAGTCGTTCTGGAGCTGAAGCTGCGAAAAATGCTCTGAATGTAAGCATAGCCCTGTTTTTATCCAATTCCTCTCTTGGTCTGTTGTATTTCACCCCTGTTTTTACATTTGTTGCTTTTGTCTTCGTTGTTTTCTAACCTTTGCTTGATTCTAGACAAAAACATTGGGAGCTTTAACAACTCTTTCCTACAAAAGATTTTCAAAAGTCAACCCATTTTGTCTTTTATAATTCAATGGCAGGGCCATTTTTGGAAAGAGGCCAGAATCCCGTAGACTTACGGTAGTTTACTTTGACCTTGATACACATCACTTATTAGTCTGGTATAGCTTTCCTCATTTTGCACATCACTGCTTTACTGTAATACTTGTTCCATAGACACGTGTAGTGTTATTTGGACACATATTCAGTAGTGTAACCTCTTATTTTGTCACTCAGTAGCCCACGTATCTGGCAATATCTAACACTTCTCTCTCATAGCCTAGCCTTTCTTATGAGCATCACCAGCATCTTAGACACACCAGCAGTCTCACACACACACCGAAAAAACTACTCACCTGCATGTGGGCACAACGCTTAGGGCACAAGAACACAAGCAGGGTTCAACCCCCTAAAGGGATTTACTCTCAAAAGTCTCAGCCCGTTTCCTCCTCTCCCTCTCCTCCTGGCTCCTCTTCAGACGCATGGGCTCTTGATTTCGTCAGGAGGAAAAATAGATGCACTCATGTTGAAATACTTCAGGAGAGTATCCTTCAGCCTTCCCTTTTTTCTCCTCTTTTATGACAAAACCTTTTAATGAACAGTTTAAGTTCAGAGAAAGCAGTCAGTTATTTTGACTATGCCACCGGAGGATAGAACAATGTTTAGCTCAAGGGAAGCTTGAAGGATACATCCCGAGTATTGAAACACGGCTTTAGGAAAGGAGGCTATGTGAGACTACAGAGTTTCAGCCCCTCAAACTCAGCCCACCTCCCTTACGATACTATGTCCCCCTCCTCCCCTCCTCCGTCTCTCCCCCAGGGTATCCGTTTTGACCCCGAAAGTCCCCAGACCCTGCGCTTAGAGTTTGCTAAAGCCAACACGAAGATGGCAAAGAGTAAGCTGATGGCCACACCGAACCCCACAAATATCCACCCTGCTCTAGGAGCACACTTCATTGCACGGGACCCATGTAAGTTGTACGGCTGCACCACTCTAGGCTCTCTCATCCACTCTCACCTTGGCAATGCCAGTATACTCAATTACCCTTTTTTAAATTTGTCTCAGAATATTGTGGTATTAAAGACAAATGGGCAGAAATTAAAACAGTATCTTACTAATTAAGGACTAACTCACCACCACATGCATGTGTCATCTCGACTCTTAAGACGCCCGCTTTGCTTCTGTAACTTTTGAAAAACTCTCACAGGGACCCTTACCTAAAACAACGGTTCATTTTTTAGTATTGGACGGGTGATGGTTCATTAAAGTCTCAAGCTACATTCAGACCAGATTTCATTGTGGCAGAACGCTTTATTACACTGTGCAAAGGGAGATCGGCAGTTCTATTAACTATTATCAAATTGATCTTGGCGTGCTCCACATAGAAACAATTACGAAGCTAAAGAGTGCGCCTCTTCAGGGTTGCAAGTACATTTTTATCCTAGTGACAGGTCAAGTTATTACTACTAGATTTGTCGGTAATAAAGCTTAAAGCCCTATTTTGACAAAGTAACCAAACTCCCCTTTTGCAGCAATGATGACACATTTTCATTGTTTACATTTTTAGCTTCTGTTTTTATTGCTCACAAGATGCAAGCCTGTATGTTCAAGAGTAGGTCAGTCAGCTTTTGTTTGCTCCCGCCCTGTACTTCCTCAGATGATATGACAGGAGCAGCACTGATCCCAGCTTCTCCAGATGCCTGGACTCCTTACCCCCTGTACACCACGGAGCTGGCCCCAGGTCTCCCTCATGCAGCCTTTAGTTACCCAGCGGCCGCTGCCGCTGCTGCAGCCCTCCACGCCCAGGTGAGGGACCAACCAGTGTGTTCCTCTTCTTCCTTCTTCCTCTAGTAGACGTTCAGGGCTCACAATACATCTTGTGTAGAACTGGGTACAACCCAAATCCTTCAACTTAAAATGAGATGTTTAAAGATGCACCCCTGCAAGTTAAAACTTGACAGCATGGTGCACTGTTAAAAGCAGATCTTCAGATTCTTGAAACCATACAGTTATCCTCAAGTATTACAGCACCAAGGATGCTCCTGCTGAATACAACCCAGATAGCAAGTCTTCAGATCACTGCTTTCTGCAAAACATGTGCACAGTCTAAATATCACAAAACGGGGAGCTGTTACAATTATATAGTAATACAAAGATTTGTCATTTAGAAAAGGAAAACGTCTTGACTGCTGTCCTGCTATCAGTGAAGTGATGTGTTGTGTATATTCTTTGATGTAGGATAACCTTAGCATACCACACATTTGCTTTAAACCCCTCTTTGTGTTTAGTCATCTGGTTGTGTTTGGCCCAAACCTCAGACTTGGCAGGATAAATGTAGCCTTTAATGGAGCTCTGTTCATCACTGTCCCATCTGTGTGCGTCAGGATAAAACTGATGCTCACTTGTAAAATACCAATGTTTTGGTCTGCACTACAGTGTGGACCAATAAAGTAGGATTGTTTAAGAGAGGTACACATTTTTACCCTAATGGAGATGGAGATTAATGCCTGATTTGCATTTAGAAAATCAATTCAAAACATTTTAAATTCATGATTTGGATCTGGTTTTCAAAATAAATGTTAAACATTGTATTAAAGGTTCATGCTGCTGAAAGTCAGAACATACAACATGGTGTACAAAGTGTTTACTCCAAGATAATCGCAGTCTAAATGCAGCAAACTACAAAGCAGTGGGCAGGGCTTTTGGTAACAATAGCAATGGAAAATATTTCCCTTGTTGGGTCATTTAAAGTTCATTGTGATCTAACTTCCTGCAGCAATGTAAGAGCACAGGGGAGTGCAACACTGCAAAGTAGGCAGCTATTACATGGACCATTTTGTCGGGCATAAGAGGCGGAGGAATGCGAAGTATTTGCTTGGAGAAATTGTCGGTCCTGATGGCCTTCTCTGGAGGTGCCAACTTACTGTCCACGTTTCTTTTGGAACGCAAGCTGACTGTAGCCACACAAAGGGGAAAAAGCCTTTTTTAATTGCAATCTGGTGAAGGATCCCTGAAATGCCCTGTTCTCTTTCCACTGACTCTTGGCTTTATTAGTTTGACTGTAAGACACAGCAGTAAGTGTTTAGTAAATCTTAGTTTAGGAAATCTATTGTGGCCTGCGTCTTTTTTTTATTCAGTTTGTATAAATGTGAGGCCTTATTCTGCCATAGGTTTATTCATAGGTATGGAAAGGTACCAGCTCTTACCCCGTGCAAATGTTTAACACATAGAGGTTTGACGCTCCACATTTCCGTGCCTGTTAATTACTCAAGGACTATTGTCCTCAATGAGCGGCTACATAACCCACATTCCCATGGCTTCTCTGACCAGGGCTTAAAGGGACAATCTTTCTAAACCTGCTGTTCAAAAGTCAAAGTGTGTTTTAATCTGCTGAATTGTAACACTGAAGCTTGGTTTGGTCTGCTGTACATAAATACGTTTGCGTTTTTTTTTTTCAGATGCGCTGGTACCCTACTCCCGCTGAGACTTCCCAGCCTGGATGGAAGTCCCGGCAGTTTTGTTAGATATTTAGTGAGTAACCTTTGAAACAACAGTGTTTTTTTAGATTTCCCAACCCCCACCCGCCATCTACTAACTACTAACCCGATGTCGTTCAAACTGAAACCTGCATAATGAGACTAACACAATGTTTGACTGAAAACTACAGAATGAGTAAACATAAATTAAAATGACTAACAACTTTGGTGTTAGAGGGTATTCTCTTGTCAACAAATCCAACCCTGTCTTTTGGTGCTCAGCCCCTCAAGATGTAAAATGAATACGTATTTTAATTTGTAGTTATTGCAGATCTTATCAAACTTTACCCAAACGGGATTAAATTGTGCCTTTTTTTTAATTGGGTAATATTATCAGTTATCTGAATTTGCAGAATAAACTATAGTGCTCATTCTAATGAAAGCACTTGTCTCCCAATGCAGCACCGACTCATTTGAACTGTTTTGGACAAGAGTTGAGCTCTGTCAGAGGAATACGATTGTGCTTTAGATGCATTATTGATCCCCACTATCCTTTATCTTTCAGGCCAATATTCCATAATTTTGTAATGCAGCTTTTTTCTTTGTTTTTTAATAACATATTCCTCTATTAGATAGACCTCTGTTCAAAACCTGTTTGAGTTGCACCATTTCACTTGTTAATGTACTTTCATTACCATAAAGCTTTAGTCAGCTTAGATTTTTAATTAATTACACATTTACCATCTTGTAGCCATGAAACACTTAACAGCACACTAAACTTTTTAATAGCATTAGTATAGTATCAATCTGCTTCTTAAATGGATTCCTCCCAAAAAACACTATACTCCTGAGTTATCTTGGTTAATTAAATGGAAACAAATTGGCTTTAAGTAGAGTATCAAACAAACTAGCATTGTTGGTCTTTAAGTGTTTTTATTTATGATGGATTTATTGATGTGGTTAGACTAAATCTTGTTTTCTGTTTCCTTCAGGCCTCTGGAAACCACACCTTTGTCCAGCTGAAGTGAGGTTTGCCGAGTTCTTCATTAATTTAATCAGGTTTATTTAATGGACAAGTGTGCATTACTATAAACAAACAGTATTTATATCTCCTCCCGATTATCTCTGGGGGGGGTTGAGTTGAAACCATCTTGCTGTCGACAATCTAAGCTTATCCTTGGCAACTAGGGCGGTACCATCTTAGCACTTCAAAAAAAAAAAACTCATGCAAAGCCTAGTCAAACTCGATGGATCATAATTGCTGAGGAAAATGAACTAATTGAAGTAATTGTTGTTAAGCTAGTCCTTCCATGGGTTACCGCTGGTCCTGGGAGGCTTAAAGCATTAAGAGTCATTGCATGTTAGTCCTTTTGGCATGAATTTAGAACGCAGAGTTCTGTGTAGCCTAATTTTCTTAGTGTTTGTGTTGCCGCTTTACCTTTTGGCCTAGACAGCTAAATGTTTTGTTTTCCTGTAGAACCTTGGTCTTACCTCTGTGAAAGCTAGGCTGTTGTGTAAATGGCTTGCATCGCATGGACCTTGTGAATGCTTCCCTACGTTCTGACAACCCCAGTCCTTATGATCATATCAATGTCTGTCATTATTTGAGCAAACAAAAGTACAAATGTTTCTGTACTTTTTTGCGTAATGTATATTTATGCATTTTTGTGCAACTAAAATAATGAACCTGTATAAGTTGGATGTTTAGTCGTCTCTTGTGTTTTTGGTGTTACTTTTTGATCCTATAATCCTGTTGACGTAGTTTTAAAGAGAAAAAAGTGCAATTTGTTTAAATGGGAATCTGTCAAAAATGGAAGTATTCTGAACGTGGCTTGTGCCATTCTGCTAAAGAGATTGCTGCAAAACGATCTTTCAGAATGTGAAACTGGACTACAAATGTAAAAGGTTGATTTTTCTTGGGGGGCCATTTTGAAATGGAGAGCAGGAATAGTGATGAAGGAATTTAGTTTGTGGTTTAAAAAAAAACATGTTTGTCTTTGTATCTGCTCAGCATAAGATGTAACAAATATTCCCATCTTATGAATAATAAAATAAGTGAATGCATTTCTCTCTGGACATCTGTCATTCATCACTGTGGCGAGTCAGCGGCCAATTGAAGTTAACTAACGCTCTGACACTGGACGCTATCTCCAAGAAGTGAATTCTGTGCGATGTTGACATCAATAATTCATGCCAACTTTTCATTTGTAATGCACCATTGCATTAGTGTCACTTTGCATCATGCTGACCTCCACACTCTGCCCTCATAAGGCGCTCTGCTCAACCAACCATGACGGCTCCTCTGGGACTCCTAAGTGACTGTCCCCGGTACGACCAGCTGCCTAATCATAGTGGTGACAGTGCTGGTGGTTAACTGTAAACATGTGTCCATATTGTGCCAATTAAGTAACGGTATACACAGGACATAATACATGATGACGGCTGCACTGAGTTGAAAGACATACTGTGAGTATAGACTGGAACTTTGGCATTGTACAATCTTGAATATAACTTAGATTATGGAGGCACTTGATTTCTGTTTTTAGATTTACTGACCATTTAATCGAGATAAAAAAAAAAAAAAAAAACTTTTCCTCATATCAATTTAATAATTTTGACAAAACCTAAACTGTCAAACATTTGCCGTCAACTTAAATGTGATGTTTTGATTTATGTAACTGGAATGTATGTATTTGCCTTTTGAATTGAGTAACAGACAAACGTTTAAAGATCTCTTTCTAAACTCCTAGAAACTGGTCTTTTGGTATATTTTAGAACATTTCCTCAAATAAATCAAATCTGTAAAAGAAATACAAATAAACGGGAACTTTGATGCATTAATGGAGATGAATTGATACATAAATTGTAGGCTGTTAAATCCCAAACTAACAGATGATTCAGGAGAAGCAAACAATTCTCTCAAGAATCAGCCATTTGCCCTTTTGTAGAAGAAACAGGTCAGTTAACTTTCACACAGAATATTTGGATTGACATTAAATCAATACAGAGTGCAAAGATGGTGATGCGAGGAAACCTTTCCTTTTCCTCTGCGGCTTCCTCTGCAGACACAAGCTGTGTGTTGTATCAGATATTAATATATTTACAATTCCTTGTTTTGTGATGTCCCTCTCTGGAAAATGCTAATGATCTACAAGAATGTTCCATGGTATTCTTCCTTACATAAGTGTTAATGTTCTATGTAGAGACTCTTGCAATACATTTTATCCTGTCATTTATGTAAGAAATTATTCAAATGGCTAAATCCCCCAGTCTATTAAAAATAGGAGACAAATATCAAAGAGTGACCATCAAATGTAATATGTATGCATTCATATTTTGTAGACCGAAAATACAGTAAACATTTGGTGCCCTTACTGTAGTGTTTAATAGAAAATGTATGGGAGAGCATATTCTTTACACATCAATGTTCATAACCTCTTTTGTAAACCATACATTGGAGACACTCACAATAGTGCTTTGTGTCATTGTTTAAATAAAAAAAACACTATGTGTCACAAGTGTATTTAGGTTATTGCAAATTGTGTTTGAAAACGGTTGAAAGGAACAAACTTTTGGACCAGCAATAAAACAGCAACAAGCTCAATCAAAGAGGCCTAGATCTTTAAACGCGGGTCTTTATCGCCCTCTACTGGCCCAGAGTCCACATGGCCAACATGAAGCAGCTGCAGAGAGCAAGCTGGCCCAACATGGACTGGGTTAGTGAGTTGAGGAATAATTAAGACCCTTCATCTTAGTTAAATATGAATACATGCACTGTTAAACACTCTGGTACAACTTTAAGTCATGGCATTGATGGAGTTGTACTCTAGTGAAGGTATGTAGTAAATTGCAGCTAAAAAATGTCAAGTAACTAAAGCTACAATAATCGAACAGTTCCTCGTACATTTGTGCGCATAGGGGGAGTTGGTAGGACACCAGGAGACACTGAGGTGACCGTTGGGAACCGGCCGCTTGTGGGAACATTAGTTCTAGCAAGTTGTTCGCTGGAAATGACATGTTGCTAATCTTGTACCACTTCCTGTGTCCATTGTGTGTCGCTATATTGCTTTACTATTTATAAGGTTTGTGTTTGAATAAAATGACATTTATTAATTTGATTCTATAAACCATGGACTACATTTCTCTGTGTTGGAATTTGACAGACACTGCTATATTTTCAAAACTGTTACTGGTACTAGATATGTATTTTGTAAATTGTGTAATGTTTACTTCCAACCTTTCCACCATGGGCAAGACTAAAGAGCTGTCTAAGGACCTCAGGGACAAGATTGTAGACCTGCACAAATTGTTTACAAGACCATCAGAAAGCAGCTTGGTGAAAAGAAAATGGGGGTGGAAACATTATGCGTGGATGGGTCTTCCAGCACGACAATAAACCTTAACATACGGCCAAGGCAACACAGGAGTGGCTAAAGAAGAAGCACATTTAGGTGATGGAGTGGCCTAGCCAGTCTCCGGACCGTAATCCCATAGAAAATCTGTGGAGGGAGCTGAAGCTTCGAGATTCCAAGCATCAGCCTCAAAACCTTCAGGATTTGGAGAGGATCTTCAGAGAGGAGTGGACCAAAATCCTTCCTGAGATGTGCACAAACCTGGTGACCAAATACAAGAAGCACCTGACCTCTGTGCTGTCCAACAAGGGTTTCTCCACCAAGTACTATAACATGTTTTGCAAGGGGATCAAATACTTATTTCCCACAGTTTAATGCAAATCAATTTGTATCTTTTATATAATGTCAATTTCTGGATTTTCTTTTTGATATTCTTACTTCATTGTTAAAATAAACCAGTAATTTATTTGTAAGTGGGTACACTTACAAAATCTGCAAGGGATCAAATACTTATTTCCTCCACTATATTTGACTCTTAACAAATATGCATTTCCTCTCTGTGGGACGAATAAAGGTATTCTGATAATTCCTCATACATACTCCTTTAAACCATTTTTTTTTTAAAGTTAAGACATTCAATGGTAACCTTGTCAACAGAAGTGGCAATAACAGAGTGATATTGACTTTTAGAGATTTATTTATTATGCAGTTTTTCCTGCAGGTGTGGCTTGAGCCTCATCTCGCATAGCATTTTGGGCAGATGGATTTAGAGGCATTCAGGTTGTCCATCATCTCCAAGGCCCTGACGCTCCGTGGCAGGGGGAGACGTGATGGCAGCTTATAGCAGCACTGGTTGATTATACTGTTGGACAACATATACACAAGTTTCAATTCAACATACCAAGTTGTATTGACATACTGTATGCACAACAGCGTTGTTTTAGGCAATGAAAATCCTAACCCTAAACCTAACCCTGGGTCCTAAGCTTCTCCAATAATGCAATATACAATATACTCAAGACATAAAAAGATAAGTGAAAACACTTCACAGAGCTCAGGAGTTTTACAGCCTTATTGCCTGTGCGATAAACTTAAGCTGCACTCAATAAAGACATCATTAATAAAGTGTAATAAAGTATTTGAAATGAATAAACACCAAAATGATCACTGTCATATTATAATCACTTGTAGGTAAGTAAAACTAACAGAATTAAATATTAAACAGTAACTCACAAATCCACTTTGTAAACTTAGAAAACTAAACTAACATTAAAATCGACATGCTAACCTCCTGTTCAATTGATATTGTACATTTTGTTTTCTCAGTACATTAAATAAATAAGAATACATTTGAATAAAAATGTCTACAAACTAGAAAAAGAGACTTTGCATCTTTATTTCAACTTACTGGATTGCCACTTGAAAGGTTGTGGTTACTGTGATTCATGTTTGTCAAAGAATCTGATCATACAGATGAATAACGGTTTTGAATGTTTCTCCTGTCTCTCACTATGTCTCATGGTGTGAAAACTCAGATCGAATGACTGTAAATTCAGTTGGGTCTCCTACTGAACAACTGACACTTTGATTCTAGAACTGGTATGGTAAGACATGGATTGGAATACTGATGGGAACATTCCAAAACATAACATGTTATTACAGTAAGCCTAAATGAGTGAAAACAATACAATAACAAGTTAACACGTCAATAAACCAAAAAAAAAAAAAACTACTTAGCCCTTTAGAGTTATCTGGCCAACATATTTATCATCACCTAGCTTTTTTTCGTTAGCAATATCACTAACCATCTTCCAGTGGTGGAAAGTCACTACGTACATTAACTCAAAAACGCGACTACATTTCTGAGGAAAATATGGTACTTTTTACTCTACATTTATATAACGCCGACAGTTACTATTCACTTTTTTACATGTAAAAAATACATTACATGATGATCCAGTACTGTACTACAAATGTTCCCAGTATTTTCTGAAGTCTCAAAAATAACTCCACACTGAGAAACTACAACATTATAAAGATATGACATGTATTTGTTGGCAGTACAAATATAAAATAATATTATATAGTAATAAAATATTCTAAGATGGGTCATATAGAAACTAATACTGTTGTTTAAAAACATTATTTAAATCAACTCAAAAGTAAGCGGGTGACGCCACAGTAACCTAACAATTGTAACATAGGACATTTTTTACGACAAACACTGATGGCCTTATTATTTTTGAGTTGTATCATGAATTTTATTGCTTGCCTTTTTTTACCTGCTATGCCACTTTTGCATCTATGCCACTTTTGCTGTAACAATGTACATTTCCCTGCTGAGGGACTAATACAGAATTTCTGATTCTGATATCGCATAACCCTCTATCCTTTATGTAGTATTGATATTTCTGTGTTTCAGGGTTCTTTTATTCTTTGTCCTCACTGAACTGATACTGCTGCTGCATAGACTTTATTCCCCATGTGGATCAATAACTTTCCATCTCTCCGGTCTTAAATTACAGAAGCACTGATTGCATTCTCACAAAGCCTTTCTTACTAAGTTATACTTAGAAATCACAACACAGTCAATTAAGTGAACATTTAAAATCCCTTTACAGTTTATCTACACCGCTTTTATGAGCAAAGAGTATCATATGTGAGTAGAACCCTTAAAATGGAAACAACCCCATGTTTCTTCAACCCGCTGGG